AGTTTAAAATTTACATACAGTGAAATGCAAAGGTCTGAAGTGTAAATTCTCTGAGTTTTGGTAAGTGTATTCCTCACCTCAATCAAGATATAAAACATTTCCATTACCTGAGAAAATTTCCTCATTCCTCTTACTCCCTACCAGTAAACCCCACCTCACATATTAGTTTTTTTTATTATTGTACTTTATATGAAGGTTTACAGAACAAACTAGCTTCTCATTGAACAATTAGTACACATACTGTTTTTGACATTGATTACCAACCCCATGACATGTCAACACTCTCCCCTTCCTCGACCTTGGGTTCCCTATTACCAGCTTTCCTCTCCCCTCCTGCCTTCTAGTCCTTGCCCCTGGGCTGGTGTACCCCTTTAGTCTCGTTTTGTTTTATGGGCCTGTCTAATCTTTGACTGAAGGGTGAACCTCAGGAGTGACTTCATTACTGAGCTAAAAGGGTGTCTGGGGGCCATACTCTCGGGGTTTCTCTAGTCTCTGTCAGACCAGTAAGTCTGGTTTGTTTGTTTGTTTTAATGAGTTAGAATTTTGTTCTACATTTTTTTTTCTCCAACTCTGAGACCCTCTATTGTGATCCCTGTCAGAGCAGTCTGTGGCGGTAGCCAGGCACCATCTAGTTGTGCTGGACTCAGTCTGGTGGAGGCTATAGTACTTGTGGTCTGTTAGTCATTTGGACTAACCTTTTCCTTGTGTCTTTGGTTTTCTTCGTTCCCCTTTTTCCAGACGGGATAAGACCAGTGGAGTATCTTAGATGGCCACTCAGAAGCTTTTAAGACCCCAGACGCTACTCACCAAAGTAGAATATAGAACATTTTCTTTATAAACTGTGTTATACCAACTGAGCTAGATAGTTCCCACAGCCCTCAGCCCAGTAATTCAGTCTCTCAGAGGGTTTGGAAGTGTCTATGGAGCTTCCGTGACCTTTCCAGATTTCTATTACCATATATTGTTTTTTTACCCGATCTTGATCATTGTATAAATGGAATCATACGGTATGTACTTTTTTGTTTCTGGCTTTTTTCGCTCAACGTATTTTTGATATTCATATTGTTGAGTGTATCAGTAGTGCATTCCCTTTTATTTAAGTAGAATTTCATTGTATGAGCATACCACAATTGGTTTATTAATTTTCCTGTTTAATGGACATTTAGGTTGTTTTCTATGAATGTTCTTATACAAATCTTTTTGTGGACATAATGTTTTCATTTTTTTGGGTAAATGCTTAAGAGTAGAATTGCTGGGTCACAGGCTAGATGCATGTTTAACTTTTGTGAGAAACAGTTTTCTAGAATGGTAGTAGTATTTTATAATTTTGCCAACAATGTCTGCAAGTTCTAGTTTGTCCACATTCTTGCCAGCATTTGGTGTTGTCATTTTAATTTTAGCTACACTAGGGTCCCTATGAGTCAGAATCAACTCAGCGGGCACACAAGAACAACAGGAAGTGTGACGTGATATCATTGTGATTTTAATTTGCATTTTTCTAATGCCTAAGGTGTTGAGCACCTTTTCGTATGCTTATTGGCCATTCTTATATCTCCTTTTGTGAAATGTTTGTTTCACTCTTTTGCCCATTTCCTAATTGGGTTATTGTCTTTTTTTGATATTGATTTGTAAGAGTTCTTTATATATTTTTGGACACAACTCCTTTGTCAGGTAGATGTGTTGCAAATATTTTCTCCCAGTCAGTGGACTGGTTTTTCATTTTCTTAATGACATCTTTAGATGAACGGATGTTGGAAATTTTGACAAAGTCCAGTTTAACATTTAAAAATTTATGGATAGTGTTTTTTGTGTCTTCTCTTAGAAATCCTTGCCTACCCCAGGACTTCAAGATATTCTTATATGTTTTCTTCTAGAAGTTTTACGACTTTTGCTTTTATGTTTAGGTCTGTAATCCCTCTCAAACTGATATTTTGTGTGTTCTGTGAGGTAGAAGATGAGGTTCATCTTTTCCCCTATGTTTATTAGTTGCTTCAGCACTATTTGTTTAAAATACTTTCTTTTCCCCATTGATTTGCTTTGATTCCCTTGTCAAAATCAATGAGCCATATATGTCTGTCTATTTCTATACTCTTTATTCTTTTTCATTGATCTATTTGTCAGTTTTTATGCCAGTACCTCATTGCTTTGATAACATAGCTTTTTAGAAAATCTATCAGATTTGAAGATTGTTTTGTCTCTTCTAGATTCCTTGCTTTTCTATATAAATTATAATATCAACTTGCAAATTTCTAAAAAAAAAAAAAGCCTGTTGGGACTTCGATTGGGATTTCACAAGTACAGTAGTCCCCCCTTATTGACGGTTTTGATTTCCACAGTCTCAGTTACCCACGGTTGACTGTGATCTGAAAACTTCCAATTACAGTGTTCTTCCAAAAGACTTCCACAAAAAAACCTTTAACTATCGAGGATCCCCAACCATCAACATCACCGTGACTCAGTAATCATCAGAAGGGCTTTGGTAGCCTAACACTATATTATATTAACTACATCATTCACCTCACTTCATCTCATCATGTAGGCATTTTATCATTTCACATCATTATCATAAGAAGAAACGTGGGTACAGTAGAAGAAGATATTTTGAGAGAGACCACATTCATATAACTTTTATTACTGTATATTGTTGTAGTTATTCTATTTTATTATTATTGTTGTTAATCTCCTGTAGTTGTTAGGCTCTGTCGAGTTGGTTCCAGCTCATAGTGACCCTGGGTACAACAGAACGAAACACTACCCGGTCCTGTGCCATCCTCATGATCATTGTTATGCTTGAGCCTACTGTTGCAGCCACTGTGTCAATCCATCTCGTTGAGTGTCTTCTTCTTTTTTCGCTGACCCTCCACTTTACCAAGCATCATGTCCTTCTTTTGGGACTGATCCCTCCTGATAGCATGTCCAAAGTATGTGAGATGAAGTCTCACCAGCCACGCTTCTAAGGAGCATTCTGGCTGTACTTCTTCTAAGGCAGATTTGTTCATTCTTCTGGCAGTCCATGGTATATTCAATATTCTTTGCCAGCACCATAATTGGCATCAAGTCTTCTTTGGTCTTCCTTATTTATTGTCCGGTTTTCACATGTACACCTTAGTCCTTAAAGTGACATATTTGGTTTATAAATTAAACTTTATCATAGTTATGTATGTGTAGGAAAAAACATAGTATATATAGGGTTCAGTACTATCTGCAGTTTCAGGCATCCACTGGGAATCTTGGATACGTTCCATGGATAAGGGTGGACTACTGTATTGATCTATTTGGGAAACATTGACATCTTAACAGTACTTAATCTTCGAGGCCCTGTACGTGATTTTTTTTTTTTTTTTTTTTCATTTATTTTGCTCTTCTTTACTTTATCTCAGCAGTGTTTTATAGTTTCAGTGTCAGGTCTTGTATCTTTTATTCAGTTTATTCCTAAGTACTTTGTTTTTTGATGACTACCATAAAAGTTGTTGTTTTTTAAATTTCATATTTCAGGTGCTTGTGACTAGTATATAGAAATATAATTGATTTTTGTATATTGACTGTGTATCTTATAAAGCCAAAAAACCAAACCTGTTGCCATCAAAATTCACTGATTAGTTCTGGTAGTTGTTTTATAGATGCCTGTGATTTCCTACATGAAAATCATGTCATCTGCAGATAAAGACAGCTTTGCCATTTTTTGATATGTAACTGTATAAGAAAAATATGAGTCATATTTAAAAACACAAAGACTAAAAAATCCATAACTAAAGCAAAAAAGAAAAATAGGTGTAAATTTTTTCAATGTTCCTTAAAGGATCCTCGCTTAGAATTTAGTTGTTGTTTAGACCCTGGTCCAGAACTTTAGTGCTTCTCTGCTTTGTCTTTTGTATCATCTTTTTGTTTTTTCTTATATGTTCCAGAGTGCCAGCTGCTTTAATTCAATCTTCCAAACTGGGATTATTGTGAATTCTTTTTTCTTTATGGATACCTAGAAGTAATATTCAGCCTTGACAGCAGTGATGCTCTCTGGGTGACCTTAGCAACCCACTTGATTTTCCTGGGTCTATTTCCATATCTCTAAAATGGTAGAATTCAGCCACATTATGTCTGAGGTCTCTTCCAGACTCCTCAGAGTTCCTTATCTTAGCTCTTGTCATGGATTGAATTGTGTCCCCTCAAAATATCTGTCAACTTGGCTAGGCCATGATTCCCAGTATCATATGATTGCCTACCATTTTGTCATCTGATGTGATTTTCGTTATCTGTTGTAAATTCTATCCCTGTGATATTAATGAGATGGGATTAGTGGCAGTTATTTTAATGAGGCAAGACTCAATATACAAGATTAGATTGTGTTTTAAACCAGTCTCTTTTGAGATATAAAAGAAAGAAACGAGCAGAGAGACATGGGGACCTCATACCACCAAGCCAGTAGTGCCAGGAGAAGAGCATGTCCTTTGGACCCAGGGTCCCTGTGCTTAGAAGCTACTAGTCCAGGGGAAGGTTGATGACAAGGACCTTCCTCCAGAGCCGACAGAGAGAGAAAGGCTTCCCCTGAAGCTGATGCCCTGAATTTGGACTTCTGGCCTACTAGACTATGAGAAAATAAATTTCTCTTTGTTAAAGCCATCCACTTATGATATTTCTGTTATAGCAGCACTAGATTACTAACATAGCTCTCGATATATCGGAGACAGGCAGGCAGGTATAGGAAGATTGTTTTTAGAATATATTGTAATTCTTGTTATTTCATTATAAATATGCTAGAGAACTGAGAAACAATCAGTTTGAGTTCATTATTAATTCTGTTTATTCTGAAAAGTTTGTCCTAATTTTGTTCCCTGTTTTTTTGTCTTCTCTAAGAAATGCTTGCCTACCCCAAGATTGCAAGATATTCTTTTATGTTTTTTTCTTAATGTTTTATGACTAGCTTTTATGTTTAGATTTGTCCTAATTTTGTGGCCTTGTGTTGGGAGTTTAGTTCACTTAAATTTTTCTACAACTTTTATTTCTAGGCTTCATAGAGCCCAATGTGCAATTAAACAGACTCAGGTAACTGTTCAGAAAATTGGGAAGGAAATTGAAGAAAAGCTAAGACTCACATCTACAAGCAATGAGCTGGTAGGTTTTTTGTTTGTTTGTTTGTTTTTAATATATATGTTTACCTGTTTAAACTTCATGACTTCTAAAGGGGAGCATCGTATTCTTCTTGGATTAATTTTTTTTTTCTTAATAATGTTTCATTGAGACTTCTTTTGGCATTTAAATGTTGGAAATAAGCTTTCCCATCTGCTGATAATGTAACATACAAAGTGCCTGCCTTATGAAACTTTAGATTACATAGAATTACTTAGAAGATAATTAACAGGCTATTATGTTAATGTCTTATAAATATGAACTCTAAACATGAACTGTATAGTGAATGAAAAATAGCTGCCGAAAGAAGAAAAAATAAACTATAGGGACTAATCTACTTTTGAAAGGTGAATTTAAAAATTGTTTGGATTGAGCATAATAGGCTGGTTTATGAACAGTGTTCTCTTTTGGGAAAGACTCTTTAATGAGGCATTTCCAGAGAAACAGAAATCCCAATTCAAATGGACACATTTAACATATAAATAAAATTTTGGATTGCTTTATACTCTTCCTAGTAGAGAAAAAAGTATTAACTTTAGAGTGAAGATTATGCCTTTGAAAACAGAATAGTGAGTATAACTAATAAAGTGAGCTTTGCTCAGAATGAAGCCACATAACTATGGATAGCTTTTGATGAAATTTCTGCTGTGGATTATGTTATGTAAGAATAAAATTCAAATCCTAGATAAATTTTTGAAAAGTGTTTGTTGCATAAACTCATTATCACAGGTAGGCAGTACTGTCCAGTTGTCATTCACAGTGCTATCAACTTGGCAGAGGGCCTTTTACATCCCAAAACAAAGGCTCCTTGTTACTTTGAGAATTTGCCCAAGATAATTTAACAGAAGAGCTATAGAAAAGCCCAATCCAATTAACCCACACAGGTTTCTCTGTCATGGAATTTGAAATTAATGGATGATAATGTGTTAGTTTGAATTATATAAAATAGTTGATTTTGACCTGCAAATGACGATTTCATAGTGTTCAATCTAATATGTAAAATCACTAGTACTGTACCTGGCACATAGCAGACATACAAAATATAGTAGCTACAATGACTATAGTGGTAATACTTAGTATTTCCTTGCCTTTGGAAAATCTTCCATTTTGAAGAAGCTTCTAAACCACCTTTCGTTTTGAGGTAGGCCTAATAAAATACCAAATTCCAGACCATAAATATATTTGAGGGGGAGAAAAAACAGCTAATTTTAATTTTTTTCTGTACTGTACAAAAGTGCCACATTTGGGGAACCTTTGTTTGGGGAGAAATTGCTAGGTTTTATTTTTCTTATTTTCCTCTCCCAAGGCAAGACTGGGAAATTACTTATTTCATTAAAAGACAGCATATGCTTTGTCTCAGTATGAAAAAATGTGTTTAATCCTTTTTTTTTTTAAATGTAAGTGGTGACACACAGAGCAAGGTGATAGAATGTATAAGTTTAAAGAGGTCAGGTTCAGAGGTTCACAGTATTTTTTTATGCTGCCTGGTCAACATAGAAGAAAAGGATCAGATTTTTGAACTAAAAGTGAACCTACAAATTTTCTAGTTCTCTAATCACCCCCTTTAAAATCATCAACCCTCTCAGTACAGCTTGTCCCCTTCTCTGCTTTATTTTTCTCCATGGTATTTATTACCATTTAACATATATATATATATATGTATACACACACACACACACACACGCTATATCCATACATATATATATAAATAAAACACATTTTACGTATTTGTCTTTTTAAACTCTATGCGGGAAAAGATTATCTTTTCTTCCCCCCACTACCTAGAAGAGTGTTTGACACATAGTAGGTGCTGAGTAAATATCTGTCAACTTTAAGAATTAATCTTGTATAATCTGGTGGTGCAGTGGTTTGGCACTTGGCTGCTAACTGAAAGGATGGCCATTCAAACCCACCACCGCTCCATGGGAGAAAGATATGGCAGTCTGTTTCAGTAAAGATTACAGCCTTGAAAACCCTATAGGGCAGTTCTGCTCTGTCCTGTAGGGTCTCTATGAGTTGAAATCAACACAAAGGCACTGGGTTTTGGTTTGGTTAATCTCCTCTTATAAAAGGCCAGGAAAATGAGGCTTGAAGAAGTAAAGCAACTTGCCCAGGATCATTTGACAAATAGAAACAGAAGTTTTAGTTTACTTGTTTCCTTTCAAGGAATGATGTTAAGGTGTATCTCTGGCAAATTAGAAACCTTTACTGTTATCTCTTTTCTTTGGTTCCTTTCCAAATTGGCCCAAGGCCTTCATCCTCCAACCCAAGTGTTTTCAATATATAAGAATTAATTTTAATTTTAGCCTAAGTAAAAATACAGTCAGAAGGTATATTTGATACTGAAAAAAATCAAATTACCTTCTAAGACCACATGTAGTAATTAACTCTGTTTAAAGAAATGGGGTTCATACTTGATGACTTTCAAAGATTTGACATCTCACATGATATCAATGGCCAGTATTTTTTTTGGCATTGAATTATATTTTGAAGTTTCTGCTGTTGTCATCTTGAATTTTTACCTACACATTTTGGATTTTGTCAAATGCTTTTGATCTATCTGTTAAGATAATGATGTATTTTTTCTTCTGTTATTATGGTGAAATACATTGATTGATTTTTGAAAGTTAGTCCAACCTTGGACCCTGGGGAAAACCTCACTTGGTTATGATGAATTATTCTTTTTATGTATGTTGCTGGGTTAATTTGCTAAAACATCTTAAAGGATTTTTGCATCTGTGTTCATGAGGAATATTGGTCTGTAGTTTTCTTGTAGCCTCTTTGTCTGGTTTTGCTGTCTGAGTAATGCTGGACTCACCTAGTGAGTTGGAAAGTGTTTCCTCCTATTTTCTGGAAGAATTTGTGTAGAATTTGATTTTTTTTTTTTTTTTTCCCTAAAATATTTGGTAGAATTCACCAGTGAAGCCATCTGGGCCAGAGTGTTCTTCGTGGGAAGGGTTTGAACTAGGAATTCAATTTCTTTAACAGTTACAGGGTTATTCAAGTTACCTATTTCTTGAGTGAGCCTTGGTAGCTTGTGTCCGTCAAGGAATTTGTCCATCTCATTTAAGTGGTCAGTATTTGTTTTAGCCATTCTAATGGGTATATAGTGGTATCTCCTTTTGGTTCTAAGTTGTGTTTCTATGATGACTCATGCTGTTGAGCATTTTTTCATATCTTTATTGGCCATTCATGTAATTTTTAAGAAGTGTCAGTTCAAATCTTTTTGCCCATTTTTTTATATATAAAATTTTTAATTTTAGATGTACAGAAAACTTGCAGAGATAGCTCCCATGTGTTTTTCATAACAGTTTCCCCTAATGTTAACATCTTTTATAACTGGTGCATTTGTCAAAACTAAGAAATTACCATTGATACATTACAATTAACTAAACGCTTTATTCAAGTTTCACCAATTTTTCTTTTTAAATGAACTTTTTATTTTAGAACAATATTAGATTTATAGAATTATTGCAAAGATAGTACAGAGTTCCCATATACCCAACATCCAGTTTTCCCATTATTAACATCTTACATTGTTGTTAGGTGCTATCAAGTTGGTTCTGACTCATAGAGACCCTGTGTACAACAGAACGAAACACTGCCCAGTTCTCCGCCATCCTCACAATCATTGCTTTGCTTGAGCCCATTGTTGCAGCCATTGTGATAGTCCATCTCGTTTATAGTAGTCCGGTAAAATTAGTTGGTCAGTGTTCCTTTTTTCTACTCCATCTTGACCAGAAGCAGAAGTCTCCTGGATCTTTTTTTTAATAAATAATTTATTTAGAAGCAATTTGTATAACATAAAATTAACTGTTTTAAAGTAAACAATTCGGTGGCATTTAGTACATTCACAATGTTGTACAGCCACCACCTCTCTCTAGTTTCAGAATGTTTCCATTACTCCAAAGTAAAACTCCTTACCCTACTCATTAAGCAGTTTCTCTCCATTCTCTCCTTCCCCCATTCTCTGGCAACCATCAGTCTGTCTCCTGTCTGTATGGTTTTATCATTTTATATAGATGACTCATATAATATGTATCCTTTTGTGTCAGGCTTCTTTCACTTAGTATAATACTTTGGAGGTTCACCCTCATTGTAGCATGTATCAGTACTTCATTCTTTTTATGACTGATTAACACTCTGTTATTTATACACACATACACATATATACACACACACATATATACACATTTTGTTTATCCGTTCGTCTGTTGATGAACATTTGAGCTATTTCCACCTTTTAGCTACTGTGAATAGTGCTGCTATGAGCATTTATGTACATATACTTGTTTGAGTACCTTTTCAGTTATTTTGGATATATACCTAGGAGTGTAATTGCTGGGTCATATAGTAATTCTGGGGGCATAGTGGTTAAGAGCTCATCTGCTAACCAGAAGGTTAGCATTCCAAGTCCACCCGCTGCTCCTTGGAAACCCTGTGGGGCGGTTCTTCTCTGTCTTATAGGGTCACTATGAGTCGGAATTGACTCGACGGCAATGGGTAATGGGTATGGCAACTCTTGTGTTTAACTTTTTTTTTTAACTTGATTTCATCCTACTGAGAGGAAATGATTTTAGGCTTTACTTGTTGCTATCCAAGAGTCATACGCACCCCTACCCTCAGTGCACACGCACACACATGCACGCGCGCACGCACACACACACACACACACACCCCGGCACACACACACACGGTTCTTCTTTGTGAAGAATCTTGATTTCTTCACATTCTGGTTTTCTGATAGCCATGTACCTTAGGAGAGCCCTGGGAGGTGATAGGGGAATAAAGCTTAATTCATCTAAATGAATCATGGTAATTCCATTCTTGCCAGTGAATGATTTTATAATGGTCATATGGTACAATTCTAGCAAAAGTGACATAAAGCGGATTTATTGGGGACTTTTGGGAAAGAGTTATCTCACTTTTAAAATCAGATGAATTAGAGAAAACAGTTCGTCCTTCTGCCTTTGGAGTTTGTAGTG